GACCTCTCTCAGATCGTGAAGGCGCTGCTGTACCTCAAGGACAAGCACGGGGTGACATTTTGGTGACAATGACTGGATTTCTGAGATCCTGGGCTGGGTTACACCGGGATGGGTCACTCTGGGGTGACAATGGTGACAATTTGGTGACACTCTGGTGACATTCTGGTGACATTCCCGCTGTCCCCAGATGGTGAAGGCGCTGCTGTACCTCAAGGACAAGCACAGGGTGACATTTTGGTGACAATGACAGAGTTTCTGTGACCCTGGGCTGGGTTATACTGGAACGGGTGACACTGGGGTGACACCAGTGACACTCTGGTGACATTTTGGTGACAATGCCACCCTCCCCAGATGGTGAAGGCGCTGCTGTACCTCAAGGACAAGCACGGGGTGACATTTTGGTGACAATGATGGGGTTTTTGTGATTCTGCACTGAGTTACACTGGGCTGGGTGACACCGGTGACATTTTGGTGACACTCTGGTGACATTTGGTGACAATTTGGTGACATTTTGGTGACAATTCCCGCTGTCCCCAGATGGCGAAGGCGCTGCTGAACCTCAAGGACAAGCACGGGGTGACATTTTGGTGACAATGACTGGATTTCTGTGATCCCGGGCTGGGTTACACCGGGATGGGTGACATGGGGTGACACCAGTGACACTTTGGTGACATTTGGTGACATTCTGGAGACATTTTGGTGACATTTGGTCACAATTTGGTGCCATTCCCATTGTCCCCAGATGGTGAAGGCGCTGCTGTAGCTCAAGGACAGCACGGGGTGACATTGGGGTGACAATGATGGGGTTGCACTGGGATGGGTGACATCGATGACAATTCTATGACACTTTGGTGACATTTGGTGACACTCTGGTGACATTTTGGTGACATTTTGACCTGTCTCAGATTGTGAAGGCGCTGCTGAACCTCAAGAACAAGCACGGGGTGACCACAGGGCGACATGGGGGTGACAATAATGGGCTTATAGTGGGATGAGTGACATTGATGACAATTTGATGACATTTTGGTGACACTCTGGTGACACTTTGGTGACATTTTGTGACAATTTGGTGACATTTTGACCTCTCTGCAGATCGTGAAGGCGCTGCTGTACCTCAAGGACAAGCACGGCGTCATCCACCGCGACGTGAAGCCGTCCAACATCCTCCTGGACGAGCGGGGTCAGATCAAACTCTGCGACTTCGGCATCAGCGGCAGATTGGTGGATTCCAAAGCGAAAACACGGAGCGCCGGGTGTGCGGCGTAC